ATTAATGTTACCCATCATACCATAAAACAACTCAAACAATAGTGGACATACGCTTGTTTCCTTTTTTAGTAGCGTCGTAACAACTACAGATGATAAATGCGGTGTCCCCATGTGGTCCTTGGCCATATAAAATAAAGTTCATCTTTTTGGGAAACGAGCACTAAAAAACGGGAAAACATTACCAGCAGGTCGCATGATCGCGTTAGCCATTCCTGCTGAGTGGGGCCGGATGAGCAAAACCGGCAACAAGGGTGGGTAAAGTCGGTTTCTGTAACGAGAAATGAAATCATAGAAAGAAAGAGGAAGTGAGGAGTCCAAAGGGGAGTTTCTTGAATTAAATATGGAAAAGTGCGACGCGAAACTTTATTTAGATACAATACGTAAAACATATTTATAGGAAAATGATAAAGTTTGATGTTTAAGGAAAGGAGTATTTGTTTTTTACTCTGTTAGAAATTTATTGATAGCGCAATTGTTATGGCAGAGCTCATCCGCATTGTATATTGTATTGTATTAGAAGTATATCTGAGTGGTCATATATTTTTATAATTTCTTTTTCAAAATTCAGCCAAGAAGATACTGATATCTATAATTTTTTGCTTTGAACATCCTCTAATCCTAAAGACCGCAGTAATACTCTGTTATTATGCATTTCCAAACCGAGTATATCTTGTTTTTAATTGTATTAATTGTATAAAATCAAGAAGACTTTTAAACTTTCAGTTATGGGGCAAGGTGGTGGACGAAAATGCTACTATTTAGTTAAAACGTAAAACATGATTATACATACAAACTTATATTATTAAAACATGTATTTTTTGTTTACTGTCAAGTTGGGAAAGTCTAGTAAAAAAGAAAAAACACCCAATCATTAGTCCTAATTTGTTTTGTTGAAGAAATTAAAATGGGAAAAAATTATATATTGTAGAGATGATAAAAAATGTGACAGTCGATCATATTTGTCGGCCTGCAGCAAAAAAAATAATAAGTTTATCGAGGCACACAAACGACTACTAAACGCAGAAAAAAAATCCTATAAGAAGAGAGTTAACAAAATGCTATTCACGAGATAAATACATAGAGAGTAAAGAAGAAGCAAACACCTCTATATTTAAAAAGTTTCAGGGTATAACAATTTGGAGAATATAGAATGGTAAAATAGTTTATTCCTTCACTAAAACCGAAGTATCTCCTAATTTTATTAAAAGTGTATTTTAATAAAAGTATTAGAAGGACTAATCAAAATGTTCTAAAAAAATAGATAAGTAGAACTTTGCAGCAAAAATATTAAAAAAAAAAAGAGAAAACAATTATAGACAGAGTGTTAAATTAGTTATAATATATATTGTTATAATTATAATTATAAACTTATTCAACTCATCAATGTTAAATAAAAAATCAATAGAAACTTTTTATTATAATTTTATTTAACTTACAATACAAATACATCATACCTAAATGGCTCAAAATTATTTATTCATAATATATACCTGGTATAAACAATCAAATAAATTACATATAATTGTCTTGTACTAAAATGAAAAATATCAGTTAAATCTTACTACTTCCAAAGCTTTATTTTTGTTTTACTATAATTTCCCAAACAACTCCGGCAATATACATTATCCAGATTAACTTATTTTGTTGTTTGAGGGAGCCACAAACATTTACCAGTGGTTGAAAGACATTTTAATAAATTAAAGTCCATAATTTCATTATATTAATTCTTTGAAAATTGTATAGCAAAACAGAGTGTAGTGACACGTGTCGTCAAAAAATTACATGACAACTGCATTAAGCTACCGCGTCCTATAACACTCACAATGGCTGAACTATTTCACTCCGGTTTCCAGTATTTCTTTGTAACGATGCAGGGTTTTCTAACTGCCTTAATAGAAAAACTTTAAGGACAAAAATATAATAACACAATAAAGAAAATCTAAGATGTTATAGTTTTAAATTTACTTTCGTTAGTGTATAAAATCAGCTTCAAATGAATATAATTTTTAATAACCAGATGATAATTGTTGAACATAATTTGGCAACATAAATCGTTTCTTGCTTAAATTACAATAGTTATTGGTATAAATAAGACAGTTGAGGTATGGGCCAAGAATAAATAACAGTGGAACCTAACTTATCCGGAACTATGAGAGTAAATTATGTTGTAAACCAAACTATCGAAGATGAATAGGAACCACTATTCCACTACTAAAAAGTAGTTAAAAATCCATAATAAACCAAGAAATATCAACAGGGTGAGCTTGAGCTGTTGAAGCCCTCTACCCCAACGAGGTTTGAAAGCCGGACCAAACGAAAGCCACAAAGATGTGGCCCATAAACGAATAATTAGGCAGCAGTATGAAAAGGTTTTCGCTTTAAAATAGGCTCTTTGTTTATAATCTAGAATCTAAAATCAGCAATTGAACTTCGTAAGTCCTAGATTTTCACCCAGCTTAACCGAAGCAGAACTGTTGGTCGATACTTGAACTCTTTGTGTAATTTGCGTCGATTGATATATGAACCCATTACTTTTATGGCGTTTTTAAAGAGAAAAGACAGAAATGGTTAGAACATAGGAAAGAAATAAATGAAATACTACAACTAATAAAAATATACAAATTTTAATATCGGATGTAAAACAGCAATTAAATACTTGAAAAGTGGTATATAGTGAATAACTTATTAATTTAATAAAATACAACACGATGGTCAAATTCCTGATGAATGTTTAAAATCTAGCTTTTTACTCTTGGCCAAAAAAAAAATAATACTCAATCTTGCGATGAATACCGATTAATTAGCCTGAGAAAAACTTTAAAAAATCTAATCAAAGTTATTCAAGAGCGTATATACATATATACAATAAGAAGAACAATAATTATTAGACAATACACAGCTTGATTTTAAAGGTGAAATAGGAGCAGAAAGGCATTGTGCAGATGCATTTGACCGATTTTAACATGGTAAACTGATACATGCATTGAAGTACATACACCTAGATCCCAATGATAATATTTTAATCAAAAATCTATAATACAATTAAAAAGGGGTAGACGTGATGTGTGCTATGGTCAAAATTATTTAATATGTAGTCCCAATATTTTATGCAACCAAGGCACTAAGGGAAAGAACTGATGGTGAAAGGATTGGAGGGAGCATCACTAATGACATAAGATTTGCAGACGATACCGCAATTATGTCAAAAAATGTAGACGATTTACAAATTCTTGTAAAAATCAATAATAGAAAAAGCCAATAGATAGGACTAAAAATGAATATAGATAAAACCAAATACATGGTGATCTCTAAAACCCCTGTTGACATTTTTTTTTTGTATGACAACATACATAGACATTAGAGGATAAACTGTTAGAGTGGGTCGGCGGTCGAAAAGTATAAATATCTCGGATCAATTTTAAACTCACAGTTAGATCAAGGTGAAGAGATAAAGATCAAAATTAAAATAGCTCTAAAAGGATTTAAAAAATACAAGTCAATGTTTATAAATGAGAAATTGAGTATTGATATCAGATTGAGGTTCATCGAATGTTATGTATGGTCACAACTGCTATATGATGGGGTAGAAAATTGGAGGCGATTCGTAAAACGACTGGAGGCATTCGAAATATGGCCGTATTAAGTTTAAATAAGCCTTAAACGAAAAAGTGTTAATTGGATATGACTGAAAGTTTATAAACATAATTAAAATAAGAATAACATCATATCTGAACCATATACATCGAAACAATAAACACTCCGCTACCCGTAATCATGCAAGGAAGAGTGTAGGGAACAAAGGGTATGAGGAAATAGAAGAAATCTTAGGTGAGGAATATCAGAGATTGGTTTAACCTCAATATTGAACAGAAATTTTGCGTGGCAAAAAAAGGGAAGCATTTAAAAAAGTGATCGTAAGAAAACATCACAAGAAGAAGATGTCTTTTTACCCAACTTACAGTGATATATTGTAATTGCGAAATTATATATTTATTCGCGTCATGCTAAGGTAAGTCGAATAATAATATCGTTTGTACTATTTCGCCGATTTTAAAACAGTACTTCAGGTTGCAACTCTGAAACTAAAGATCGAGGTCAAATTCCTCCCTTTAGTACAATATTTGAGTTAGAAGGTATCATTTGACACCTCACTTGTTCTCTCTGTTTTTTTTTTTAGATAGTAACGGAGGAGTTGTGCTTAAGGACAAACATACGGACGGACAGACAGACATAGAGAATTCAATGTTTTCACATTTTTTTTGATAGTTTAATTTATAAAATGAAAAATATAGATAGAAAACATGGTAATTACTACAAGTAGTAAATATTTAAAATAGCTAATAGAAGGCCCATGAATCATAGTCAGCATATTAATGGTTAGGCCAACATTTACACAAAGACGTGTAATAAAGAACAACACAGAAAAATTAATATAAAATACGAAATTGTATTACCGAATTTACTAATTACTGATAGTACGACTAGTTAACATGGACATATCCGATTACAAGATCATTCACATATAAGTATAGAGCTGGTAATACTGCAATGATAATCTGCAAAAATTCAAATGAAACCATGTATTTAAAACAATGGAAGGTACATATAATTGATAAGAGGAAAAACTCCTTGATAAGAGAAAAGCTCAAAAACACATAACTAATGTAAATGTAAGTACAAACTTGAAGAAAGTATGTCATTGAATTGATCATAGAGTTTAAATAAGCAGAAATATATTATATATAACTAATAACAAGAAAAAAATATGACGATCAGTAAAAGCAACACGACAATAATTTGGTATGCATGGAAAAATCAGCAGACTTGGATAATAGACAAAAAAGTAAATAACGAAAATAAATTGTATGGAAATTAAGTCTGAAATTTACAATATTTATATTAAGACAAAAGAATAATAGCATAATAAATGACAAATTATTATTTAATTGAATATAAACAAAATTATAACTATGTAGTAAAGTAATTTTAAACTAACTTACCTCGAAAGAATTTTGGATACACATCCATGGGACACTCTTAACTGTCTGGAAATATCACAGGGCCGTACTCCATTGTGAGCTAATTCGACTATCCTTTGCCTCACTACGTCCGGCAAAGGCCTACCGTTTACGAAGACTCCACCCAGTTGGTTAACGCCTCCATGGCCTGAAATCAGATATAAACAATTGAAATATTTCAATAAATCAAAATTACATAACAGCGTGCAATATCGCTGGCTCTGAGGCCGACGTAAATATGACAGAGGCAGTGCTAAGGGGATTTTAGAGGAAGATTCACAGGAAATGTTGTGCTGAACTTCTGAAGTATTTAGGTTATATTTAAGAGAAGAATTTATTAAAAAATATTCCGTTTGTCCATGTTACAATATAAATATTCAAAATATAACAAGTAACGCATAATTCCTTTCTCTTTATACTGGTAAATGTGTATTTGGCCAGACGTTCTATCTAGTGCATTTAAATAAACATTAATTACAATTTTTATTTTATTTTAAGGTACCTATATAAAATCGCTAACTATATATTTTTTAGTTTTTCAAATTTTAGTCCATACAATCAATTTTATGTGGTTCCGAATCATCGAAAACGCGTTTTGAGTATATTATGATATGATAAACTAAGAAAAGGAAAATTGAAATATTTAAATTATAAAAATGTTTGTATATAAATTATCTAAGAAATAAATAAAACAGAGTTTATAAAACATAACTATTATTATTTATATCTCTGCTTGGTGTGCTGTTTTCTTATAGTAATGACATCCCATATAAAGAAGGTGCCTCCTAGTGGCGGAATACAGGCCACAATATGTTGGCGTTTCGAGAAGTCCTTGTAGTAGGGATCTTGGTATGTATAAAAAAATGACAGCAAGTATTATACTGCAGCTTGGTTGTATTGGTGATGTGTTGGCCAAATCGTGCATAATATGATGCTGATAAAAAGGCTGTCAAAAATTAAATGTCCCAAAAATTTTTCAGATCATAATAATAAAAAAAATTTCTCCAATATAACAGAAATTATACTGAAATGATGACATATCTTAAAGTTAAATATCTTAAAAGAAAACTGAGCCTCCAGGCTGATTTCAGGTGAGGATTATTGCAGGGGTAACACACTTACAACTAAAAAAATCAGAATCGGGCCTTGAAATCTTGGAAGTCTTACAGGTAAGAGTATGAAGTTGGTAGATGCGCTTAAAAGAAGAAGACTACAAATTGCTTGCATTTAAGCGACAAGCTGGAAAAGACAAGAAGCATAAGAATTAAGGGAGGGATTTAAATTGCAATGAATAGAGAAAAGTAACAAGTTTTAAGAACAAGTGAGAATAATCACAATTAAATTTGTATTTATTAAAGAAATGTTAATAATTTTGTATGTATGCTCCTTGAATTGGTCCGCGAGAGAATAAAAGAAAAGCTCTCTTTGATACATTACTAGTTATACTCAATGTTAGATATACCCATCAGGGAAGAGAGTAGTAATAGAAGGTGATTTTAATTCACTCGTAAATTAATCGTTAGATATGGTGATTGTTAAAGGAAGATGACGAACTTGTCATATATCTACGAAAGTGCTTAAAATCAATTAAAAATGGGTAGATTGTTTCATGATAGGAAAACTAGATATGCATAAATGCAATGACTGAAAGAAAACACTTAGTGACACTGTGAGCCAATAATAACTTTTTTGTGCTCGACATTAAAGTGGAAAAAGAAACTAAACCAAAATATTGGAGAAGACCATAAAAATCAAGTGGTGGATGTTAAAATATGAAAACCTTACATATGATGACTGCCCAAAAACACATGGATCAAACTAGTAGCTCTTTAAACAAACGTATAGCAAAACACAAAAAAGCTTTCAATAATAAAAAACAGTTTCTACATACGAACTTCACCTTCTAGATTATAATCCATCTTTTAAATTCAAATTTTAAATTCTCCATATTCTTAACACAGGCTTTAAGCTATGTTTATTATAATCTATAGAAATTATTAAATTAAAAAATACAGATATAATTCTGAATGTCCAATTTATGTCGCACAGCTCTCCCTTCCCCAATTTATTCAGTTAATGACTATACAGTTTAGACAAAGTAAAAATCCAATAATCAAGAAATGCACTCTGCCGAAACTGCTGTGATGTTAATATATTATAATAAATTTTATGGAAGTTTTAAAAACAAGAGTTTTCAGTATTTTATTGTTAGATAAAATAAACTTCCATTAAGTAACGATCGAATCCATCACTTATGAGAAAGAAGGTGTACTCAGGATAAAAACACTAGATACAATATGGTGCAACATAAAAGGAGGTCCTAATATAATTTAAAGGAATATGACCAGTATTATTAGATATACTGATACTTAAATATTTAATAACACCTTATAATAAAGTTTGAGCATAAAGAAACCTTCTGGTGGTCAAGCGAAAATCAAGAAAAAGAGAGGAGAAGAGAGAACTATACAAACAGTGGCAAGACAATTGATCGGACAGATATTCTGTGGAGGCCAAAACGAAATCGAAAGTAGTAGTAATAAACTTTACATTACAAGCCCAAACAAATCTATACAATCAATGTCATAGTAGGCGAAGCAAATATAAATAAAATAGCCAAAGATAGAGCAAAGAAAGCAAATGATTTTCAAATGATCAGATTAGATGTTACCGAAATGAAAATATTAATATATTAGTTAATGAAATGAATGTCAAAAAGCTATGAAAAAAGTACTTTAACCGTTTATTAAATGAAGAATGTGACAAAAAACAAGTAACGCAGATTGAACAGCAATGGTCACCAAAGTAACAAACGAGAAAGTTATTTTATTTAAAAAAATTAAATAATTCACAGCATTTGGAGAAGATGATATTCCTGGAGATATATGGACAGGTTTACAAAAGACACTAACAAGTTGCCTAGTAGGCCTATTTAATAGACTTACGGAAGTAGTAGCAGTATATTAGTATCTGTTTAAAAAACAAAGAATATATACACAATCCACAAATTACAGGGTCATAAAACAACTTACAAACTCTATGAAAATTATTCGGAAGCGAATAATTGATAGACGATTACTTAAAGAAATTCAAATATTCGATAATAAGCAGGACATATCAATAACAGACGCAATTTTCATTATAAAACAAGTGCTGAAAAAATGCGGTAATAAAAAAACAACCAGTCATACTCATACTTCTCATTGACCTTGAGAAAAAATATGAGAGGAGTTCATCGAGAGATTCTGTGGTGGGCGTTCAATAAGAGTGAAAAAAATAATATAACTGATTTAGCAGCACAAAGCAGTGTTGTTTCGGTTTCATGGCAAATATAAGTATATGACAAATGTAAACCTTAAATTCATCAGGCTTTTAGATTATGTGATAATTTTTTGATGTTACCGTATGGTCATTAGCGAATTTACTCTTGGTTTCTGTTTTTAGATCGTTACGTCTTATAGAAGGTTTGTTAAAATAATAATATTTTACTAAATAAACTATTATTGTGAACTATAGATATTGGATAGTAATAGATATACATATTGTTAATAACTGCGTAACGTATAAAACTTTAAATAGGAATTACAACAAGATTATTTTCCTTTGCCATTGTTTGGTCCGCCTCTGTAAACCGATGTGTATATGGAAGTGAAAATCATAACCTTTGATATACTACTTTGAGTTATGTATAGGGTTTGGCGAATATACGGCCGTAGCTAAAGGATATTGTTAGTTTTTTCATTATTTTCTTTATTGGTTTGAAGTGCTGTCAAAGTTGTAATAATGTGTTTGGTTTGAGGTGATCACAAACATTTCAACGTGAGTTTTAAGACGTGATTTGTTTTAGATCTTACTAACTAGGCAGAAAAGAAATTTTTAAAAACTAAAATTTGTTGCGGCATTATAAAAGTTGGCAGTTGATTGATACAAATTAATTTTTTAAATATTTTTTAAATGCAAATAAATACCCTTTATTAAATAAAAGTATCTAGAAATGTTTTACCGCAAAAAAGAAGAATTAAACGAAATAACTCTTATGACGCTGGGGATTATTTTGTTATTTGTGCTGCAAACTATAGAAATTTTGTTATATTTTGTTTATATAATGATATATATATATATATATACACATATATATATACATATATATCTATATATATATATATATATATATATATATATATATATATATATATATATATATATATATATATATATATATATATATATATATATATATATATAGCAAAAAATACGACCGTTGATTAAATTTAAAAAATATTCAATAGTTGAATAGCAGAGGTTGTATCGGTCAATAATAGGCAAATGAAAGTCGTCAACTACTTCATTGATTTAATCGAATACGTTTCGCTTTTTAGTTTTCAAAAGCATCATCAGTTCACTACAAATAAAAATAAAACGATGTAAAAAATAAGTAAATAACCAAAAGGGTTCATACTTACAAAAACAATTTGTAGGTTTTGTAAAAGATGTTAAACACACTCTACGATAACTTAACATTAAAAAATTTAAAAACTAAACGATAGAATAGAAACAAAAAACATGTAATGTACCTACCTACTCACATGTAAGATAATTAAAGTATCTATGTATTTCTATATAGTTTTTAGTCACCTGGTATATGTTATTTACAATTATGAAAAGTTCTCATGTATAATCACTAATAATTATTTGCTGTTAGAAATCAGAATCAATACTCTTCATAAATATTTTCCTATTTAGAATAAATAAGTTTCGCTAGTTTATTCGCCTAATACTTCGTATCTATGGAATAATAATAATTTATTTCTCTTATTTCTTTGTTCGATAAGCTATCCGTATTTGCTATTTTAATATTAATATTTGAGTCCAATCTCTTGTACTCAAATCCATCCAGAAACATCGTTAAATAATTGTAGATAACAGAACTTATAAATTCATAGTTTTAAGAAATAACAGGCAGTGTAATTTTCATCCTCTAATATAATAAATTTATACATGTCAATATATTCTGTTTAATTCCAAAACAAAGAGTTAGTCCGGAGAAGAAATAAACGCATAGTATTCCATAACAAAATTTGGTGTCAGAACGTGGGATATTAGTAGCAGAGTTCCTCTGATTGCTGATAGAAGGAGAGCTGAGGAATT